GTCATCACCCATTTAAATTTCTTGTCCATTTTTCTACTGGTCAGTCACGCTATTCTCTCAATCTCTTTCCCTCTCTCTCCCTCTCTCCCCCTCTTTCTTTCTCTGATGGAAATAACTTTCCTAATTTCAAATGTGATACATGTCAGTTGGAATATAGAAATATATAAAGGAGAAAAATGAAATTTCCCATGAAACTCTTCCCCAAGACAGCTTTTATATACAGTTTGGTGTCTATCTTTCAAGATTTACCAATGGTCCTCAACCTTTATTGTGCATTAGAATGTCTTAGAAGGCTTGTTAGAACACAGATTTCTGAGTTCCATACCTAAAGTTTTTGATTCAGTAGGTTTGGGGTAAGGCCTGAGGATATGCATTTCAGAGAAGTTTCAGATAATGCTGCTGCTGCTGGTCTGGGGACCACAGTTTGAGAACCACTGTTGTTTAGACACACAGACAAGGCACCCATACTGTTCATTAACTTCCTATCTTTTTTTTTTTTTGCATTACGCTGGCCTCTCACTGTTGTGGCCTCTCCCGTTGCGGAGCACAGGCTGCGGACCCGCAGGCTCAGCGGCCATGGCTCACGGGCCCAGCCACTCCGCGGCATGTGGGATCTTCCCGGACCGGGGCACGAACCCGTGTCCCCTGCATCGGCAGGCGGACTCTCAACCACTGCGCCACCAGGGAAGCCCCTAACTTCCTATCTTTTGCTCAGCTTATCACAGATAGTATTTATGTAGTTCTGACCCACCTTCGTATGCAGCAGAGTGCATCTTATTTGATATCAGAGGCATTTAAGTTGTTGCAGTTTTATTATTATGATAGCAGTGCATCAAAAATCTGTGTTCCTATTCGTCTGAATACTGTATTTGTGCAGGCTTTTCTGTAGGACAATTTCCTCGAAGTGGAATTGCTGGTAAATGTGCATGCTTATATAAAATTTGACACATCTCACTGATCTCCAGAAAAATCGTACCAAAATTTACTTCTGCTTACTGGTGTTAAGAGTTTCCTCACATACTGGGCAAAGACAGAGTGTGATCACTCTTTACCAGTCGGAGGAGAAACAAAGTACGTTTCACTTTTAATATTTCTTTGTTTTTTTGTGATGTTACACATTTTAAATGTTTATCGGCCATTAGCATTTTTTCTTTTGGACGTCATCTTTGTTCACTTTCATTCTTACTGTTCTATAAAAGCTGGTCATTCAATCATAGACAGTCAGCTTTTAAGGTTGGAGATATTTTACCCGTTAATCATATTATTTGCCTTTTAAAAAAATTTATTTTATTTTTGGCTGCGTTGGGTCTTTGTTGCTGCGTGTGGGCTTTTCTCTAGTTGCGGTGAGCGGGAGCTACTCTTTGTTGTGGCGTGCGGGCTTCTCATTGCAGTGGCTTCTCTTGTTGTGGAGCATGAGCTGTAGGTGTGCAGGCTTCAGTAGTTGTGGCACGCAGCCTCAGTAGTTGTGGCTCGTGGGCTCTAGAGTGCAGGCTCAGTAGTTGTGGCGCATGGGCTTAGTTGCTCCGCGGCATCTTCCCGGACCAGGGCTCAAACCCGTGTCCCCTGCATTGGCAGGCGGATTCTTAACCACTGCACCATCAGAGAAGCCCTTATTTGCCTTTTTTGATGAAGAGAAAAATTTAATTTGCCTTTTATGCGTATTTCTTTTCCTTCATGTACTTTTCATAATCTGATATTATTTGTTCATTTATTTTTTCTGATATTTTTTTCTGATATTATTTGTTCATACATTTTTTGCTCAGCTACTACATACTAGAAGCTTTCCAAGGCACTGGGGATAGACAGTTAAAAATCTTGCCCTCTTGGAGCTTGTATTCTAGACAGTAAACGAAATAATAAAGAACTGATATAATGTTTTAGAAACTGATGAGTGCTATGGAGAAAAACAAAGCAGGGAAGGATGACGGATATATTCACTTCGATTTTCTTCAGTTTATTATTATTTTATTTTTCAATTTTTCATTCATTTACAAATTATCTTGGTGTAAAACCTTGAGGTGTGGTTTAAGCCTGTCTTTTATCTAAGTTTATTTCTTGAAAACATTGATATGAAAACATATCTGAGATATCTTTAGGGTGCACTGAACATATATATTTGGGTCATTTTCTTTTCTTTTTTAAAAATTATGTTCCATTGATCTACCTCTGTTATGGTCTCAGGAACAATTTTTTTAAGTTGTCACTGTATATTTTATTCTCTAAAACTGCAACTTTCCCCCTTCTCATTCTTTTGCAGTATTTTTTGGACTATTCTGATCTTCTTATGCTTGCTGATAAATTTTAGAATAATGTTGTGAAGTTCCAAATAAAATCACTTTGGGATTTTATTCAGTGATATTAAATTTGTAGGTCAATGTGTAAGGACTTAAAATCAGTTGATACAGTATTGCGTTGTCCTATCTAAGAACTTGGCTTATATAACAGTGTATTCTGTTAGCTTTATATTCTCCATCAAAGGGTAAATATTTTTCATCTGGGTTGTGTGCATTTTTCTACAAAGTTATTTCAAGGTGTTTACATTTTTTGTTGCTATTGTAAATGCGGTAATCGGGTATTATGTTTTTTGACTGGATATTATTGCCATCTGGGGAAGCTAGAAGATTTTAAATTATATGCATAATTTAATATATAAACATATAATAATTTAATGATATGTATCCTGGACCCCCTACTGAACGATTGTAATAAGTTTAGTGGAATCTGGATTTCTTAGTGGTATGTATGATCCACAAATAATCTTATAGTTACCTCTTCCTTTCCAAAATTTATCCAGTATTGCTTCGTCTTATATTTTCACATTGCCAACGATTTCTAGAATGATGTTAAAAGAAAAACTGAGACAATTTCCTTTTCCTGTTCTTGACTTTAATGAGAATTCCGCCTTCCTATCATCACTGAATATGATGGAGCTCATGTTTCTCAAGCACTTAATATTTTCCAGGTGATGCACTGTGCTAGGTGCTGGAGGTCACGAGAATTTTATGTGCAGATTTTTCAGCACGCAGTTCATGACTTTGGTGCTTTTATGACGCGCCTTCCTCACAAGGGAGGTTTTTATTTTTATTTTTTAATTCATTCCTCATTTTATTGAGTTTTCTTATAGACTTTCTTTTCTTTCATGAAAGGTCATCAGTGAGGGCTTCATTTTCTCAGTCAATTTCTGTCAAGAGAGTTTCTTTTTTGTTGCTTTCACAGGGAGTTTCAACTTACCCGAATGTACAGTCGCCTGGTTGCAACGGGTTTTCATCAGAACTGCATACAGTTGGCCCTCCTCATCCGAGGCTTCCACATCCTCAGATGGGGAAACATTGGGTGGGTGAGTGGATGGGGGATCCAAAAAGTTCTGAAAAGCAAAACTTGTATTTGCTGCGCTGTATATCGGTAGGGGTCCTGGAACCAATTTGCGCGGTATCAAGGTGTATCCAGATGTGGCTGTATTTTCACTTTTTTCTTTGGTTCGTAAATGAACTCTTCCCTTCTGTAGTTTGTAGCTTCCTTCTGTTTGTGCCCCCACTTTCTCTTCTCTGTCTCTTTGTCCCCCCCTGCTCACCCCTCCCTCTAGACGCAGACTAGCTTCTGGGTGTGAATTCCAGCTCTGTTCCCAGGCTTTGTAACCCTGAGCAGGTACCTAGCTTATTAAGGCCTCAGTTTGCTCATCTGCAGAATGCAGCTTATAAAAGGTCTGCCTCATCTGTAGGAAGTGAGGACCAACTGTGATCACCCTGGCTGTGGTCATATAGCTTCTATCCCATTGGTCCTATGTTCTTCCTCAGGGTTTTGAGTTTGTATTTTGTCTCACCGTCATCAACATATTTACAGGAACCACGATAAGAGTCATTTCTAATTAATTTTATCTCCTTTCCTTTTTCTTGTGCATTCAGAAAGAGCTTCTTCAATTTGTTTTGCTCAACAAGGTGTTGAAATTTCCTGGAGTGTCAATTCAGCTGTTTAGCCCCTTTAATGTTTTAGTTCTGTGAACTGTTATTTCTTTCCTTGAATTAATTCCCTAACTCTATCAGCGTCTCTTTTATTTTTCCCGCAGTAACTTGCCTTATTATTTCCTCTTATTTTACAGGGTCTGTGTTTTCTATGATTTCCTTGAGAGTGAAAAGCAGATGGTATCTAAAATTTCCCGAGCAGTTTTTCTTGAAAATATGATCCTCCTCTGCTTGTTGTATGTTATGTTTAAATCCTCCTTCAAAGTTCCACGTTCTTTTCACAAGCCTCTTGTGGTGGTGGAGGTGGTGTTCGTTCTCTTTTAAATTTATCCTTGAATGTGGACAGTCATGTTCCAGCTTGTTACTTGCCCCAGAATCGCACAGCATTTTTCTAGGGTTTTATTCTGTTTGCCCTTATGTCCTCTGGGGTCCTTTGATCACGTAACATGAATGATGAAGTGAAACAATGTTTAATGAGCTTCTTTCATTGGCTAACGCTTGCCACTAGCACTTAATAATTGTTAGTTACTATTATTGTTATTACAGTATTTTCTCAAGCTGGAGAAGAGGATGACCTAGGTTGGCATTAGAAGATCAAGGAGACCACAGCCTCAGGTAGGATGCAAAGGGCCTTTGGGGACCAAGCCAGTCCAGTCAGCAACTTCTCTGTTTGTTAAAACTCTGGTGTCTGTGTCTGTTTGGTTTCTGGGTAGCAAAGCGGTGTGACTGAATCAGGCTCCTTTCGTGATGCTACTTACTGGATACTGACTGGGGCTTCCTATCCTAAGAGAGCCCTTATGGGATGCTGTTCAATTTCCCTTACACACCTGAAGTAATTCGCACTTGGTCATGGTGTATAATTCTTTTTATACATTGTTGAATTAGCTAATATTTTTAAAAGGTTTTTGCATCTAAGTTCATGAGAAATATTGATCTGTATTTTTCTTTTTGGTATTGCCTTTGTCTCTTTTTTTTAAACAAAATAATACCGGTTTCATGAAGTGATTTGAAAAGTGGTCCCTCTTCTACTATTTTTGAGAAGAGATTATGTACAGTTGGTGTTTATTCTTGAAATGTTTGGTAGAATTTTCCAGTAAAACCACCTAGGTCTGGAGATTTTCTTTTTCAGTAGTGTTAAAAATATGAATTCAATTTCTTCAATGGTCATAGGACTATTCAAACTTTCTGTTTCATCTTCACTGATTTTAGTAGCTTGTGGTTTTTGAGGAATTGTCCATTTCTTCTAAGTTGATAAGTTTATGAATGTAAAGTTGTACATGGTTGTTCCTTATTATTTTTTTCATGTTTGTAAGATCTGTAGTGGTATCCCCTGTTTCATTTGTGATATTGGTGAATTTTGGCTTTGCTGTTTTTATTTTCACCAGTTTTTCTTGAGTTTTACCAATATTATTGATTTTTTTCAAGGAAGCAGTTTTTCATTTTATTGATTCCTCCATGTTTTCTCATTTTCAATTTTGTTGATTTTTGCTCTTTATCATTGCTTTCTTCTGCTTGCTTTGGGTTTATTTTGTTCTTTTTCTAGTTTCTTGAGGTAGAAGCTTAGCTTTTTTTAAATTAAATTTTATTTTTTAAACTTTTTTCGGGTTTTTTATTTTATTTTTTAAATATCTTTATTTACAATGTTGTGCTAGTTTCTGTTGTACAGCAAAGTGAATCAGCTATACGTATACATGTATCCCCATATCCCCTCCCTCTTGAGCCTCCCTCCCATCCTCCCTATCCCACCCCTCTAGGTCGTCACAAAGCACCGAGCTGACCTCCCTGTGCTCTGAGAAGCTTAGCTTTTTGATTTGCTGTTTTTCCTTTTTTCTGAAGCAAGCATTTAATGCTATAGATTTTGCTGACAGCTCTGCATTAGCTGCATCCCAAATATTTTGTATTTTCATTTTTATTAGTTATAAGTAATTTTTATTTCCTTTGAGACTTTCCCTTGGACTCATACATTTTTTGTTTTTAGAAGCATGGTGTTCATTTTCCAAGTGTTCAGAGATTTTACCTGTTGTCTTTCTATTATTGCTTTCTAGTTTGGTTCCACTGTGGTCAAAGAAAATTCTTCGTATGATTTCAATTCATTAAAATTTCTTGAGATGTATTTTATACCTCAGAGTATGCTCTCTCTTGCTGAATGCTTTGTGGTGATTGAAAAAAAAATATATTCTGCTTTGTTGGATGGAATGTTCCGTATGTGTCCGCTAGATGCTGTTGACTAATTGTGTTCAGAACTTCTATTCCTTTGCTGATATTCCGTCTAGTAGTTCTGTCATTTGCGGAGATTGGGGTGTTCATGCCTCCAACCCTAACTGCGGATTTATCTGTTTCTCCTTTTAAAAAAAACTATCTTTTTCTTTTCTTTTTTTGGGGCTTTGTTGTTTGGAGAGTACACACTCAGGATCATTCTCTTCTTCATTTTTATGTTTCTGATACAGTGTCAACATGTAATAAAGGCTTTCAGCAGATATTGCCTGAATGACTTAGCAAGTTAAAATTAAATAAGTACATAAGTGAACGATGGAAAATGGTTCACTTTCTCAAGCTGTGATTTTTTCCCCCCTTGGTTGTACAAATTATGCAGCATATAGTTTTCAATTAAATCTTATTCCTCATTTATGTTTTTTAATGTTGATTTAAAAATTACGTTTGAGAAGGATCAAAACTTAGCTGAAGGAGCATGGACTTTGGGTGAGACAGATTTGATTTTAAATATCCACTGTGTGGTCAAACACATAATTTAGCTTCTTTAATTCTCAGATTCTTAGCTGGAAAATGAAAAAGACGGCACTCTGTCAATTGGGAAACAGTTGGTGACAGTGATGGAACTGCTGGCTTAAGTAACAACAAAAATTGGTTTAAGAGAAAACTTTGGAAGTAACTCATTCCAGGTGTGGCTTGATCTAGTCAGAGCTTCATTTCCTCATCAGGGAATGTAGCTATATTTTTTGTGATTCTCTGTAATTTTGGTCTTCAGTGGCAGTTGTATCCTTAGAGTGGCTTCCCTCATAGTAGCAGAAATAACGTCTCAGGTTCTCACCTTCCCATCACAGTTTACATAGAAAGGGTGAACATCTCCTTGGGCAGCTCCTACAGGAACTTCTTCTTCATAAGGACCCCACACATTTTTCTTGCTTGTCATTGGCTTTCACCGGATCACATGACCTTCCCTGAACCAATCACCAAGACTATTAAGGAGGAACTGAGGGTGATGTCAGTCCCAGTCAAACCACTTGGCTGAAAATAGGGGTCTTTCCTGGGTCTAAATGGGAAATGGGTGCAGAGGAGGCGGACAAATACGTGTCTGTTGTAGTTGCCAGTATTTCAAAGTTGTTATGAAGAATAGAAATAATATGCAGGGATACCCTTTGTAGTGCCTGGGATTATTCATTACGTGTCAGATAACTCTTGATATTATAATGATGATGATTATTAGTAGGATTTAGTAATATTAGTAAATGTCTCCAGGAAGTTCTTAGAACAATATTATAGGGATACCTTCAGTATAAGTTGAGCTCTGAAAGTGTTTTAATCACAGATGACACTAACTCTTGAGGTCTGGTGAGATCTAACAGCAGTGGACTCTTAAGTGATCTTCCTGTCTGTGGTCTAACCTCCTCCAGACTATCCTCCGTGTTGCCTCCGAATTCCTAACCCGTAAATCTGATCAAATCACTCTCCTGCTCAGATCTTCAGATGACTCTCCTTGTCTGTAGCAGCGGTCCCCAACTTTTTTGGCACCAGGGACCGGTTTCCTGGAAGACAGTTTTTCCCCGGACGGGGGTGGGGTGGGGGTGGGGATAGTTCAGGCGGTAATGCCAGCCAGCATGGGTCAGGCGGTTATGAGAGCAATGGTTCAGGCGGTAATGCCAGCCAGCGATGGGTCAGGCGGTTATGAGAGCGATGGTTCAGGCGGTAATGCCAGCCAGCGATGGGTCAGGTGGTAATGCCAGCCAGTGATGGGTCAGGCGGTAATGAGAGCGATAGGTCAGGCGGTAGTGCGAGCGATGGTTCAGGCGGCAACGCGAGTGATGGGTCAGGCGGTAATGAGAACGATGGGTCAGGTGGTAATGCGAGCCAGCGATGGGTCAGGCAGTAATGCAAGCGATGGGGAACGATGTGGAGCGGCAGATAAAGCTTTGCTGGCTCGCCCACTGCTCACCTCCTGCTGTGCGGCCCAGTTCCTCATAGGCCATGGACTGGTACTGGTCCGCGGCCCGGGCGTTGGGGACCCCTGGTCTATAGCAGTGCTCTAGAGACTTTATTTGAATATGAATCACATGGAGTGTGTTTAAAATTCAGATTTTGATTTGATCAATAGTAATAAGCTCCCAGATAATGTTGGTGCTGATATTGCTGCTCTGAGGATGCATTTTGAGAAACTAGGTCTGTAGGACAAAGAACAAACACTGTGTAGCAAAGACCCTCAATAATCTGACCTCACCTACATCCCTAACCTCATTTCCCATCATGTCTCAACCTGTACACTGCAGCCTTGCCTAATGCCACAGGTATTTGCATCCCATTGAACTTTTTCATACCCTTCCTTTTGCCTAGAAACTGCATCCCCTCTGCCATCTTCCTTTCCAATTTTTACTATTGCCTAATAATCTTCCAGTCTTTTGTTGGAAAGTTTATTTGACATGCCTTTCTATATTCAGTCACGAGATTGTCCCATAAATCCTCATAGTTTTTTCTTGCCTCTCCCCTCCTATAGAAATACTATTTTCTTGAAATAGAAAGGGCTGTTTTTGTTGTTTGTTTGTTTTTATGTTAGTAGAACCAACAGAAACAGTTTATTATGGGCTGGATCCTGTGTTAAAGACTTTCCATGTATTATCACATTCAATCTCATCTGATCCTCACATCTGCTCTGTGAGGTAGGTATTTCTCAATGTGTCAAACAAGACTCCCACTTGAAAAGGACAGAGTCCAGAGATTCAATTTAATTGAACTTTAAAAAAGAGGATTCTATTAGTTCATATCACTGAAAATTCCTGGTGGTAGGTGTGGTTACATTTATGGTTCAGCCCACAGACTGGATAAACATTATTCACAGTACAGCTATCTGACAGAGAACCCATGTCCAGAACATATAAACAGTGCCTACGAATTTTACAATACAAATCCACAAGCACCTTAAAATGAGCAAAAGCCTTGAACATACACTTCGTAAAAGAAGATACACAAATAGCCAATAAGTGGATGGAAAGGGTGTTCATTATCATGAGTCAACAAGGAATACAAATTCCAACCACAATGAGATACCATTTTACAGCCACTAGAATGGTAAAAACAAACAAAAGAAAAACCAGAATTGGCAAAAGCAAGAGTTAGGATGTGGAGAGGCTGCAGGAACATTACGTTGCTTGCTGGGGGAGGTATCAAATGTTACAACCATTTTGGAGGATTGTTCGTTAATTTCTTATAAAGTTAAACATCCATTTACCCAATGACCCAGAAATTCCACTCCTGGATATTTACCCAAGAGAAATGTAATCATGTGGCCACAAAAAGACCTGCCCAGCAATGCTCACAGCAGCTGTATTCACAATAGCCAAACTCTGGAAACAACCCAAATGTCCATCATTGGGTGAATGAATAGACAAATTGTGG